CCCTGCAGTGTAAGGAGTGCATTTTGGGGGTTCAGACCCACCTGCATCCCGATCCCGGTGCCACCACTAACTAGCTGTGGGACCCTGGGCAAGACACTTTACCTCTCTGACTCTGTTTTCTCATGGGGGGGCGGGGCCCCTATAATAATGCCTGTCTCCCAGGGTAGAGAGGATTAAATCGGATAAAGTTTTCTAGACCTCTGAGGAGAGGCCTGACACCACCAGCTCAATAAAAGTCAATTCTCTTCTCCCCATTCCCTCCAATCCCCTAACCCTTGCCAGAACCGAGTCGGGAGTCGCGGCCCTCAGCGGACTGGGCAGCGCCTGGCGGGGAGAAGGGCGAGCCTTCCTCGGCCCGGGGTGGGCAGAGCCAGGATGGAAGACGTTTGGTCGGCCCCCGGAGCCTCGGGGTCTGCCTGACATCTCTGGGCTTAAATAACCGTGCGCCTTTGTTATTCGTCGGCAGCAAAGTGGTTCGTTACGCCTGATTGGTCTAATTGCTTTGAAATGGGATATATTATCTATAATTATAGAGCTCTAGGAGGAGCCGGCCGGCCTCCGCTTTCATCTTCCCCAAGTGCACCCTCATGTCGCGATCACATTAATTTGGGCCATTTGAAAGGGGGCCCCTCTCTCCCCGCGGATCCAGGCCCCCTCACCCGCTTCCGAACTTAAAGACTCAAGGAAGCCCCAGCCTGAGCTAGGGGAAAGAAGCGAGTGGGGGAAGGGCGGGAAGGGGGTAGGAGCGGGGAGTCGGACTTGTCTATTTCTTCCTGGCGCTGGGTGAAATCCACCACACTCGGGCAGTTCCACCGTAGAAGCCGGGCCCACTTAAGGCGGAGGAATTAGCAAGGAGGAGAAAACATTTCTCACAAGTAGTTTTTTTTTTTTTTTTTTGACTTCTCGTTAAAGAAGGGCATCTAAACTCTTAAAAGGCTTCAGTTCTGCCCAGGTCCCAGGAAAGCAGAAAGCATGTTGATCTGGATCCGTGCTGTGGATATTTAGCCAGTAGCTGAAGACTCCCTGGAGTTCCCAGCTCTTCAGAGTTTTTCTCTGGGAAGCTGTGAAATCCTCCCGAAGGATACCATCAGTGACTCCCTGACAATTTCCCAAACCTCTGACTCCCAGCCATTCACTTCCAGGCGACAGAGGCCAAAAGACTGGAAGACGCAGGGTTGGGAGGCCCCCTCCGCAGGTTGGGGGATCCCGAGTTCGTGCTTTCTGTCTATCCGTCAACCCCCACCCTCCCACCCCCAACCTCAGGACAAAATACCTCCTCTCTCTCCCCCTCCGCCGCCCTCCTGGAGATTGGTGAATTCCCACCAAAATAAATCGTTCCGGGTAATCGGTTTTCATAGCACATTCATTCTATTAAAGAGGACTGTTTGGGGCTCGCTAATTGCCGGGGGATCCCACTGAGCTGCACATTTTTAAAAATGCACGCGGGATTCCTGGGTCGAGGCCACAAAATGCATTGGAAATGGGGGGAGGGGGCGTAAACAAAAACCCGACGGAGGCGACAACGAATGCCCAAGTGAGGGGCCAGCCTGCAGGCTCTTCCATCCTTGCGGCAAGACCCAGATTGTGATAGCGCTGTTCAAGATGGGATCCCTCTAAAAACTAGTCCTTGCCTAGGAAGGGGGAGTTCAAAAACACCACCCTTCCTCCACCGCCGCACACCCTCCTAAAATAGGCGTTTGGAGGAAAAAGACCAAACCCATCACCATTTAGTGGCCCAGAGAGTGGACGCAGGGCAATCCGTCTTTAGGATCCTGAACGCCGAGGCGCTTTGTTGCGGGACGGAGAGTGCCTCCCCGGACTGAGGAGGATGGAGCGGAGCGCGCGAGGATGCTAGCCGAGCACCAGTCCCCGAGCTTTATCTGCTGCGGGCCAGCCCTGCCCTTGCCAGGCATGAATTACTGCCCGGCCGCTGCGGCTGCTGCGGCCGCGCAGAGAAATGGGGTAGAAGCACCTGGGGGTTAGTGCTGGAGGCGAGATAACGCGCGCAGCGCCCCCCCCACCCCCCACGGCCTTGTCAGCTCGAGAAACCCACCAACCGGGAAATCCGGAAAGGCCCAGACAAAAATAAACGCAGAGAATGCTCCTTCTCGCCGCCCCAAAACTTGTGCCTCTCCTCCGGTGGGCACCACAAGCTCGGAGAGACGCATAGACGTTTTGTTTCTTTTCTCTAACTCCCTTCCCTGAGACCGCGGGCATCTCTACCCCCGCAGCTAAAGGGCAGCTCGGTGCAAGAGCCGCGCGCTATTCTGAGCACGGACTCCACGTGGAATCTCCTCTGAACCCCTTTCCCTCTTCAGACACAACTCTTCTCGCCTTGCAACGCACGCAGCCTGCCAGCCCGCCGCGCCCGGCGAGAGCAGACGCGAACCCAGGCCGAACCTAAAAAGATACCATGGGGTTCCGGACACGCTTGGGATGCCTAGGGGCGGGCGGCAGGGCCGGGGGGCTGCGGGCGCAGGCGGTCTGCTCCCAGGAGGCGGGGGCGCGACTTCAAGGGCCCCTGCGCCGGCTGCTGCCTTTGATCGGGCCGCCGCTGGCGCCTAAAAACAACATCCTCGTCTGCCTATTAGGCGCGCTGAGGGATCGTGACAGATTGTTTATCCCCGCAATTAGCGATGCGGCCCTTCTCCCGCCGCCCGGCTGGCCGGCCCCCGGCCCGCGCTGGGCCTGGCTGTGCCGCCGCCAGGGACAGCCCCGAGACCCCTCTGCGTCGCGCGGCTGCACTCTCGGGGTTCGAGCCCCTGCTCTGTCCTCAAGCAGGGATTCTTAGCTGGCGGGCTCCAAGTGGGTCCAGAGCCCCTGAAGTTGTTTTTACTGATGCGTATTTGTCTAGGGAGGAAGTTCTTAGTTATATCGGGTTCTCAGAGTGATCTGAGAGTCAAACATTTTGAGACGGGAGACGACGTTGGAACAAAGCAAGCCCCGGCCAGAAAGACAACACTGCTTGCTTCTGACACGAGGACCTAAAGAGCCAAGGGCCCTCGGTTTCCTCTCCCCCTGTAACCCCAGTGCAGAGTGAGATACCGGCTCGGCGGTAGGGTGTTGTTTTAGAGACCGATAAATTAAAAATGCAGGCAATGGAAGTTCGCTGTCCCAGCTGGGCTGCTAGCAGGGGGTTCGGCCTACAGCCTGGCTGAGCATCAGTTCGGTCAGCCCTAAAATGGGTCCGACGGTCTCCTATCCTTGCACCCTCAGGCGTACCTCCAGGAACTCAGTTTCGCTGCCGGGTGGAAGGACTCTCTATTCGTCCTGCCCCCGCCCCCTCCTCCTGGGGTATGGTGAGATTAAGATGGGCCGGTGGGTGCCCCACGCCTCCAGCTGGGCCCGCCGCGCGAGCTAGAGGCCCCAAACCCTGTCCCATGCTTGTGTTGCAGTCTCGGGTGAATAAGAAATCTGGAGACGTAAATGTCACAGATGCGAGTATTCCTGAACCCGCCCCAAGGCCTGCACATATCTCTGGAGCCTAGGGACAGATGTGAGGCTGTGGATCACCGTGGCGTCCGCAGCCCGACCCCTCCCGCCAGACCCCGGACGCCGTCAGGGTAATAAAGTTCCCGCTCTAGCAATTCATTTTCCTTAATCTGGACGCCCCTAATCTACAGCCTTTATTGGGCCCAGTTAAAAGGCGAGGGAATTCGCTGTCCCTCCGCGCTCGGATAATTACCCCTAAATGGCCGCGGCAGCCCCTTGTGTTTCCTGGAGATTAGAACCCCGCAGTCATCAATGGCCGGTCCCGGTGAGCCGCCAATCACCGCCGCTGGCTGCCCCGGAGCCGCCGGCCTGGGCCCCGGGAGAAGAGGCCATAAAGAGGAGGTGCAGAAAACTGCCGAGCCCCGACCCGACTCTGCATAGATCTTAAGTCTCCCCACACTTCCAACTCCTTTTCCTCCGTTTTCTTTTAAGCAGGAAAAAAAAATCACGTTTCCTCCGAAACTGGCAAAATAGAAGTTCTCAAACCCAGCTACCAAGGATCCATCCCAGGAACAGTCCTCTTTTCTCCCCTGCCTTCCCCCCTCAGTTGTGCCTCCCCACCCCGTACCATCCTGGACCCAGAGGCAGGGATGTGTTTTTGTTTCCGCGGACGCTTTGAGGTCACATTAAGGCCAGATCAGTGTTTTGTTGACGTTTCTGCTGCTTTTATTTCAATAAGTTCTATATCAAAAGGACCCGGCGGCTCCTTCCCCCAGTTGGTCGCCGGTATAGGTGTTGTAATCCTCCCGGGAAGTCCACAGCGGGGAAAAGTACACATCATGAATGAAAATCGATTACCGACCCAGGATAATATTAGGTATTCTTATCCTTGGCATCCACAGCGCCCCAGGAGAGGGGCTTCTTTAGGCAAACTTCAGTCCAGCGCTTAGAAAGAGACAAAGGCCCACTTTTACTCCGAGGTAAAGTTTGGAAGATTGAAACAGAGGAAGAAAATAAAGGTGTTTAAGAAAAAGAAATTAACAACCCGTCTTTCTACTAAATAACCAGGCGGATTTTTTAAACTATAAAAGAAGTACTCATGAAATGACTCATCTCAAATGATCGTGGTACAGAAAAGGGGAGGCAGGTAGCGGAGGGGGACAGAGAAACACACCCAGCAGCTGACTGAAGAAGAAGGTAGGAGAAGCCTTGGTAGAGACGACCAGGGAAGGAGTACAGAAAAAAGGGAGGCGTGGGAGAGAGGGGTGGGCAGAAGACAAGTCCCCCAGGAACACAGAAAAATAGAGACCGACGGTCATCCGGAAAGAGACAGGCGGCCCAGGCTGGAGCGCCGAAGAAAGTTTCTCCCGCGCCCCCTCCCCTCCTCTGCCCTCCGGGGGTCCGGCCCTGTCCCGCGAGCCCCGCGGCCCAGTGCGCCTCGGGGCCAGTCCGCAGGAGCGCGGCCCAATGGCTTGCGCCGGGCCCGCCCCCTCGCGCGCTGATTGGCCGCCGCCGCGCTGGCCTCGCCTTATTAACAAGTTCTCTGGGGAGCTGCGGCCCGACCCGGAGCCGGCGAGTGCGCCCGGGAACTCGGCCTGCGCGGCGGCGCCAGCGAAGAACCAGGCCCCGAGCGCCGGAGTTGGCCTTGTGGGGAGGGGCGGGAGGCGCGCGCGCGAGGGCCCGCCCGGCCAGGGCCCCGGGCGCTCCCAAAGGCCGGCCGCGCTCCCAGTCCGCCGGAAGCCCATGCCCGGCGACTGGCCCGTGCTGCGGCTGGAGGGGGGGCCCGGCTCTGCATGGCCCCGGCTGCTGACATGACTTCTTTGCCACTCGGTGTCAAAGTGGAGGACTCCGCCTTCGGCAAGCCGGCGGGGGGAGGCGGGGGCCAGGCCCCCAGCGCCACCGCGGCCACGGCGGCCGCCATGGGCGCAGACGAGGAGGGGGCCAAGCCCAAAGTGTCCCCTTCACTCCTGCCCTTCAGCGTGGAGGCGCTCATGGCCGACCACAGGAAGCCCGGGGCCAAGGAGAGCGCCCTGGTGGCCTCCGAGGGCGCACAGGCGGCGGGCGGCTCTGCGCCGCCACTGGGCGCCCGGCCGGGGTCGCTGGGCGCCCCTGACGCGCCGTCTTCGCCACGGCCGCTGGGCCATTTCTCGGTGGGAGGACTTCTCAAGCTGCCAGAAGATGCGCTGGTCAAAGCCGAGAGCCCCGAGAAGCCCGAGAGGACCCCGTGGATGCAGAATCCCCGCTTCTCCCCGCCCCCGGCCAGTAAGTAGCCAGAACCCAGGCGGCGGGGGAGGGGGCCGGGCGGGGGTGCGGGACCCGAGGGCGCCAGGCCGCGCGCCGGCGCCTGCTTGTCTCCAGCGGCTGCGTACCTGCAGCTGGATACCTGGAGCCGGTGCTGCAGATGGGTTGGCGGGGAGGCCCGGGTTTACTCCACTCCCCAATCGCATCAGCTAAAGGGGTGGAGGCCTGGCTGAAACCCAGCTCTTGGTCCACTTTCGCGGGCTCCTCGCCTTGGCCAGGGGACGCTGCGGATGGGAGTTAACTTGTAGGACAAGGTGTCTGGGCACCCTCTCCTCCAGCCCCCATCAGAGGACCCCAAGAGTCCCCACTTCCCAATCTGCCCCCAAAACCCTGTTACTTCGCCGTTATCCCTACGGGTGGGTCCAAGTGGTGCGGACATCTTCCCTGCGCTCAGAGTTTCACTTTCTCGTGGAAGACTGCCCTCACCCCCCGCATTAAAGTATCTCTTTTCCCAGAGGTTCTTGATCTCTTGCAAAATTCCCCCTTCCCCCTTCAAGTTTCAGGCAGATACTTAGTGCTTCTGGTGGATGGGTCATTTAGTGGGAGGGGGCGCTCAGGTTCCAGTGGAGGGGGCGGGGCACCAAGTCAATTAGTGGGAGGTGCCCCCTCCATTGCGGTGGGAAGCTCCCAAATTCGCCGACTGGGCCCATTGAAGCGGACTCCAGCGGTCAAAGGCGCGTTCGGGGTCGTTCCAAGGCCTCATGGGCCCCCGGCTTCTCTGCCCAGCAAACATGCTCGGAGATATTTCAGGAGCACGGGAAATTCCCAAGTTTTCCTCGTTTCCTCCGATTATTTTGCGCGGCATAATAGCAACCCGAATTCAATGGCGTGATGCTGAGGAATGATTTTTATCTGGGGATTAAACGTCTTTGAAAGGCCAACCCCCCCTCGCTGGGCCTAATGGCTGGAGAAGGTGGCCCAGGGCTGTGCTGTCGCTCCCGAAGGGAGTGACGTTTTCCTCGGTGCCCGCCCCTCGGGCCGCCGGGCGGAAAGCGAGTCGGGGGCCAACTGCTTCCCGGACTCTCAATGGCCTGGAGCAGGGAAGAAGGGGGGATGTTAACACGAGGTTTCGTTTGACTCATATCCTGGTGGTCTGCGAGCCCAAAGGATCATTAAAACACACACACACACACACACACACACACACACAACGAAAAAATGCATGCTTAGGCAAAACCCGCATGGTGAAACATTCTGGACTTGAATTCATTTTTCCCAAGGGAAGAAGCTGCTGGGTAGGGAAAGCGGCCTTTCCAGGACTTGGGAGTTCGGTTAGGGCCTCCACCCAGACCCCAAAGTCCTTGTGGTGCCCGTTGTCCTGGAAGGAATTTGTTCTACGTTTTATCTGGCCACGGCTGCCCTGTGTGGCAGGGGTTGACTGGCCCAGAGGACTCAGTCTCAGATCTGCGGGGGAGCCCTCTGTCGAGATGCTTGCTCACCACCCACCCTTGAAGTATATTTTGAAGCCGTAAGAAAAAACTTGGCACCTTTGATCTCTGCGAACCCAGACACAGGTGGAGAAGTGATTGCAGCACCCCCCCCACTCCCATTTGTGTGTGTCCAGAGGGCCAAGGCGCTGGGGGTGGGAGAGACCCAAGAGACAATTGAGACAATCACAAGTCCCCCCCCCACACACTGGCACTTCATATATTTGAGATGTGGCCGTGGTGCCACCTCCCTGACCGCCTGACAGCCGGCTTTTCTCCACCTCTGGGTCCCCGGGGACGGCCCTCAGAACCTTGTAGGAACATGCTGTTCCAAGGGAAAGAGTGGAATTTGGAGATCTGGGTTGGATGCCACGCAACGGCCTAGCCTAGCGCTGAATGCTTGGTGGGCACAGATAAATGTTTAGCCAATTCATGAAACTAGATGTGATCTTGGGTTGGGTGCAGGGCCTTTTCCGCGTGTTCCATCAGCCTTATTAACACCTACCGTTCGGACACCGGCGGCGGTGGGAGGAAGCCCGCCGCGGAAGGCCCTCCTGCGCAGCCACCTAGCATGAAGGCATTCCGCCTCTTCCCAGTTAAGTTCGGGCCTTGAACCTGCGCCTGTTTCACCTGGAATCTTTGTTTCCTCATTTGCAAGAAGTAGACAGGAACGTCTACCCCGCAGGGTGTGGCCACTGGAGAAAACCTTTTCCAAGTGTCTCTCCCAGTGCCTGGCACCGAGATGCTCCACGAAAAGGAATAGCTGGTATTGTTATTGACCACTCTTACTACTTTGTGGGCAGATTACACTCCTGCGCCGCTCTCTTAACCCCCTGCCTTTTTCTCGGCCCCCTAGGGCGGCTGAGCCCCCCGGCCTGCACCCTTCGCAAGCACAAGACCAACCGGAAGCCGAGGACGCCCTTCACCACCGCTCAGCTGCTGGCGCTGGAGCGCAAGTTCCGCCAGAAGCAGTACCTGTCCATTGCCGAGCGCGCCGAGTTCTCCAGCTCGCTCAGCCTCACCGAGACGCAGGTGAAGATCTGGTTCCAGAACCGCCGCGCCAAGGCCAAGAGACTGCAGGAGGCAGAGCTGGAAAAGCTGAAGATGGCCGCCAAGCCCATGCTGCCGCCGGCTGCCTTTGGCCTCTCCTTCCCGCTCGGCGGCCCCGCGGCAGTAGCGGCCGCCGCGGGCGCATCGCTCTACGGGGCCTCTGGCCCCTTCCAGCGCGCCGCACTGCCGGTGGCGCCCGTGGGACTCTACACAGCCCATGTGGGCTACAGCATGTACCACCTGACATAGAGGGCCCCAGGGTCGCCTCCCTGTGGTACCAGCTGATTCCTCCAGCCCCGGTCTCCTGCGAGCGGCAGGTGCCATCCCCCCCAACGAGCTCCCTTGTTCGGCACCTCCCGCCTCCTTCCCCTTTAACCCCCACGCTGCTCCGGTTGATCCTCGGCTGCTCCCTGCGTTCGCTCTCCAATGTCTGATCCCCTACCCCAAAAGTGGCTGGAAGGGGCCCTTAACAATCTTCTAGAATCTAGATCTACCCTTTGTGTTACAGATGGAGAAACTTAGAGAGGTGTAGACTTCCCAGCGGTCCCCAGCAAAGTTAGTGGTCGGACCGGCACTAGGCGGCTGTGTCCTGTCCTGACACCAGGCAGGAGACGCACAGAGAAACTCCCGTGTGAAGATTTTGGAAAATAAGAACAGGTGGAGAAAAAGAGGTGCGGGCCAATGTGGGCGCATGCCAGGGGAGATGGAAACCCCCGTCCTTCCATCGGAAAACTTCAGAGAACTTCAACTGCACAACGTCTGCTTTCGGTGGGGGGGAGGGGGGTGACACAGATGCGTTGCCAAGGTAGGTTGAAGGGACCTCTCACCAGTACCAGAAAAAACTGTAAAATAAAATTTAAAACTCCTGTTTCTATTTAACAGTACATTTGTGTGACTCTCAAGAATCCCTTTGGAAGGGATTTTGTGTAATATACTGTATATTTGAAATTTTATTATCATTTATATTATAGCTATATTTGTTAAATAAATTAATTTTAAGCTACAAGAAACGATCTCTTTATTGATTTAGGCTTTTATTTGGATTTTACTTCTTGCCTTCTGTTCACATATGCAATTGCTTTTCAGCATGATGGTAGTTTTACACTAGCACCTTTCAAAGGTGACAACAGGATATTCAGGGACAGAAGGGGGGGTGTCCTTTTGAACACGCAGGACAGATCTGCGTTAGCAAAGTCAAGTGGAGAATTGAAGCAATTACCTAGGATAATTAGGCTCAATTTTCCAATTCACTTTAAGCTGAAATCGACACTTGCTCAGGCGACCCATAACCGACTCTTTCTTTTTTCTTCCCTTTTAACCTGTCTATGAAAACAAAGCGAATCACCCAAATGGTTTGATGACTGCAGACAGCTAATCCAGACAATTCCCACCCCCGCAAACCTGTTTTTCCCACAGGAGGCCAGGTGGGGGGTGGAGGCCATTGCTTTGCTTCTCTAAATCGCTGCGCTGGTGGAGACCCGGTTTGTGGATCTAATTTTGAGCTGCCAGAATGTGAACGCCTTCACACTCCCTATTACGACGCTTAAAAACAAAACACTTTACTGAAAACCCAAGGCGACAGTACACTTCCCACCTTGGCGTGTCCTTTGCATGAGCCCCTGCCTCCAAACACTCACAAACTTGGTTTTTCTTTTATATAGTAGGTTAGATTCAGGCTTCCAGGAGAATATATTTGAACGAGCGCCAATTTAGCCTTCTGGGGGGAATTCTGCAAGGATGTTGATGGCAGAAAATGACCTTGTAGTAAACAGAGCCTACTATGTTCCAGACACCGCTCTGTTCCCTTTCGAGTTGGGGGCTCTGGCTTAATTCTCACGAGATCTGCGTGCCCTCCCCTCCCCCGGGCCCTGCCTCAGTCCCACATTGGCCCGCACCTCCAAACTCCACGCAGGACAGCCCCAGGCAGCTTTTGCCGCAAGCCGTTAACCCTGGAAGCCAGCAGGCCAAGGGTTGTTAGAAACTCCAAGGACCTGGCGTTGGACTTGGGGAGGGTCGACGTCTGCACAGCTAGAGGCCGTGGTGCGGGGTGGAAAACGAGTCTGGGGCACCTGGAGCGGTTTCTAGCCCCAGGGGCCGGAGCTCTGCCTAGGAATTCCAAGAGAGCGCAGGGCTGCGCGCACGCACTCTGGGCGGGCTCTGAGCGGGCGCCGGGCAAGTTCCAGGGTACCCCGGGTCTCCCTCCGATCCTACAATCTCGATTGCTCCGGCAAACGTTCTGTCCCGGAGGCCGGGGCTGAAGTCCCAACATGTCACAACTCCCCACCTTAAGAAAAGAAAGCAAGCTTGCTGTAGAGTGCAGTTCCGCCGCTCCAGACAGACTTCTGGGTTCCCAGAAGCGCGGTCAGAACCCGAATCTGGGCCTCTTCGTCCCCAAGAGAGAGGAGTTAGACCTAAAATGGTCTTAGACTCACGTAGTCCTTTAAAGGCGCTTGAGGGCTGAGGTATACCGCTGCTTCTCGCAGACGCAGAAAGGAGTTGTGGTCTCCTCTCTATAAACTAAGCAACCCGACAGTGACGGAGCGCAGGACACTGGCTCCTACAAATTTTTCGTGTTCCTTTCGGGAACACCCCTGGTGATTCTCCTGTCCTGGGGATAGTATTGAACTTGAAGTCAGACAAGCCGACGAGGTTCATCCCAGCCCTGCCGCTTATTGACTGCCTGACTTTGGGTAGGGAAGATATTCCATTTCTCCGTTCCTCAGTTTTCTCATCTGCGAAATGGGTCTGGGAATCCTTCCCCGCTCCCAGGATTTTGGGGGAAGTGTCAACGAATCCCCGCGAGAGAGGGCGCCCGGGGAATAGGGGTGGATCTGATTTTTCTCAGTTCATGGTGCGTCCACAGCCCTGGAGTCTTTTACTCTAGTGCGGGTAGGGGAATGGTGGGGCAGGATCAGGTGTCTCCTCTGGCTCGGACTCCCGGGCCTCCTGGCTCCTCGAAGTTTGGCAATTTAGGGTCGAGGCAAACTTAGAGCAACATAATTGCAGTAATGAGCAACGGCTCGCGCTCTGCAGACGCGCCACGGCTCCAGAGAGGCGGTAGCTGCAGGCAAGGCTGGCGCTCCCCCTTCCCCCACGCAGCACCTCTGCGGGGTGGAGGAGGTCGCCGCCCCGGGACCCCCGCTCGAGCCCGCCTCTGCGCGCGCCTCCGCCCGCGTTGCCGGCTTGGGTCCGGGTTTCCTTCCACTCCCGTGCCCCCTACTTTATCCATTTTTGTTTCTTTTCGTCTAGCTCTTTCTTTCCCCCCTTTTGTTTTCGAATTCCCTTTGTACACAGAAGGTGCCCAATAAATGTTTGCTAGATCGGAGCGGCTCACTGGTGTGGGTTGAAGACTGGGGCCAAATTCAGCCAGGTCTGGCGGGAATTGGCGGCGGTCCTCGCGGCACCGCTGCTTTCTCAGCCCAGTCCTCCGAACTCAGTTGCTTGTTTATCAAGCGAGGGCAGAGTGGGCAGGGGGTTCCCAGGCCTGGTCCTTTACGGATCTAGTTTCCTCCTTTGGCAGGAAACACCGGATCATTCACTTCGAGTCACCACCTATGGCGCCCAGAGGAATTCCCGGGCAAACCGCCTCCCCCGCGCCTCCCAAGAACCTCATGGGATTTTTTAAAATTTATTTAATTTTTTTAATTTATTTATTTATTTATTTATTTATTTATTTATTTATTTATTTATTTATTTATTTATTTATTTATTTATTTAACAAGAGAGCGTATGGCGGTCCAGAGAGGTTATTTGACTTCCCAGGGTCACACAGCCCATTAGGGGGAAAGCAGGGATTCGAACACAGGTTACACGCCGGTGTCCACGCTTTCCCCCACTGCCCAGTCCTCTCGTTGAGGGTCACCTAGTGCCTGAACGGCTCTTTGGTTTTAGAAAAGGCCCACGAAGCGCGCGCATCGCTGGAAAACCGGCCTCGGGGAGCCCAGCCAGCCCTAGCTCCACGAATTTAACCCCTTCGTGCTCTGACCACGAGCAAGCCCCGTCCCTCGGGGAACAAAAGGGGCATCTCACCTGCCCTGCAAGCTGTCTCTGAAGGCATTTTCGTTTTGTTGGGGAGGCAAAGGCTTAATCTGCAAACTCAGCTTCTGACCACGTAGGCTGGACCGAGAAGGCCCAAGGTCTGTGGCGTGGAAGCCCGGGTAGGAGAGATTACTTCGCGTCAGGGGCCCTGGGGCGCTCTCGCTCCGCGCACGTCCGCGGGGGCTCGGGCGGTCGCCGATCTTCGAGGCTGAGCTGGGGCCGGAGAGCTCGCGCTAAGAGCGCCTTGTGTTAGGGTTCGTTTCTCCGCTCGTTGACCCCGGGCTTGAGGGCCCAGGTCGCGCAGGAGGCCCAGTGGAGATAGTTACTCGGGAGGCGGGGGACCTTAAGTGCGAATCCTACCGGCCGTGAGGCTGGCGGGGTCCCGAACCCAATGATGCCCCCCTTGGTGACCCGCGGCCCGGAGGTGAGCCCGGCCTGCGCCTCGCCTGGAGCCCTCGGGGGCGCAGTGGGAAAGAGCGAGGAGAGGCTGCGGCCGCCTTTCAACTTGGCGGCTGGCGCCGGCCTGGCCGGGCCCCCGGGGCCGTGCGGCCTCCCCGGCTGCGTCCCCGCCCTCCCAGCAGCTCGCATCGCGGCACGGCCGGGACACTCCCCCAGCCCCGACTCCGGCAGCTCCTGGGAAACACCGTCACTGCCCCCCCTACCCACGGCCACCAAGTGTCCATTCTCCGAGAGTCTCCGGAGTCCCCATTCCAGACTCTTGGATCTCCTTTCGCTCCACTCGACAGCTTCCACTCCGGTCTCGCGCAGCACCCCTGCTCCAGGCCTAGGAGGACTCTCTCATCACACAGGCCTGCCTCCTGCACAGCGCCCTCCCGCGGCCCCGGAGCAGGACGCTGGAGCAGGCTCCCTCCGAGACAGCTATTGTGCTCGGGCATCCTCGTCGCCCTCGCCATCATCGTCGGACACACAACACACCAACCTACACTGCAACACACACATCTGACACACACACACAACCTAACACAATGCAACACATGTTAAACCAAGACTCACACTCAACACACAACCAATCAGCGCGAGGCCGCGCGCGCGCGCGCGCGCGCGCACACACACACACAACCAGCACGCACCCCCAACCATATACACCCAGCGCATACACACACAGCCAACAAATTCACACACCCAGACAACACCTCTCAAACAAATGCAATGTGACACATACACGTACAACCAACAGACACCCAACCACACAAAATCAACCTATGCCTCACACTGTACACACAAAGCTAACACGCACACGCCAACACACACCCAAAACCCACAATCAATACACACATCCCAATAAAAACACAGGTCCAGTTTATAGAGGCAAACATACAATGCCAAGGCACCACCCCTCAACGTCCCTACTGAAGTTCTGCCACCCAGAACCTGGTGACACTGGGAGACACACATAATCTTGATAGGGGAGACCCAGAGATAGACGTTGAACGGGGGGGATCAACCCCAAGAAATTATGGACATCCAGCCACAGCAAGAGACTGCAGGCAGAGGCCTACCAAAGCCATTTGAAGCCACCCAGACCGGGATGATGAGCTTGACACAGGAGCAAAATGTGCAGCCCAGAGCACAGTGGGTGCCTGGCGGGAGATAACAC